AAGGCACTGGAGAAAACGTTTTGACTTCAAGTGACAAGATTCTTGGATTTAAAAGAAAACTCAATGTTTGGAAAATGTTTTCCAAAGGAAATATTGAAATGTTTCCACTGCCGCTTGGGCTTGAGAGTGAGGAAGGATACCAAAAAGTCTCAAATCTAATTGAAAAGCACCTGGATGTATCGCAGAACAAAACTGATCAGTACTTTCACTCCCTCTCAACACAAATATATGACTGGGTGAGGGATCCTTTCTCTGCATCTTCTGCTCAGCCTGAGAACTTCACAGAAAGAAGTTCTGTGTACCTTGTAAGCTGCAGTTTGATTGTACACTCAAGATGAGATTCACTGATCTGCCCATGGACAAGTTCTGGATTTTTGTGAAAGAACAGTATCCTGCCATTCACAGGAAGGCACTGAATTTTTTGCTGCAACTTTTTCAACTTCTTACATGTGTGAGCAAGCTTTTTCTTATTTAATAAGCATCAAAAACAAAGGCAGAAATCATCTCATTTCAGTTGAAGATGAAATCCGTGTGTGCTTATATCATGTTCAGCCCAGAATTGAGTATTTGTGAAGCAAAAAAACAAGCACAAGTTTCACGTTAAAGAGCTAAGTTTCATTCTTTATTTTTAGTTTACGAACACTGTTATTGCATATATATAGCCCTACACATGAAACAAATATAATAATTATGTAACTTCTGGCCTATATTTGAGCCTGAATGTGCAGGGGTTCCCCCAGGCCTGAAAAATATTTCAAGGGTTCCTCCAGGGTCAAAAGGTTGAGAAAGGCTAGGTTAGAGTATGGCTCAATGTGTTGTACAAACTCAGAAAATTGGTTAAAACAAGTAATCCTTGATTAGGTTATGAGTACCATGGGAAAAAGTGTTGTAGGAACACAACTTTTCTCCTCTCTTGCTCACATACACATACTTGTTCTATATTTGTATTAAGCCAAGGCTTATTTCCCTATTTTTATTAACCATAATTGGCAGGATTCACTCAGTACATTAAGCCAAATCTCCCACTTGGATGTCCTCCAGAACTGTGGATTTCAATGTCCAGAATGGCCCAGTGTACATGGTCATTGCTAAGAATTCTGTGAACTGAAATCTACATATCTGGAAAATGCCCCAGTTGTCTTAACATGATATATGAATCCAACCACACATTTAGTCAGCATTCTATGGCCACTGAGCTTCATTTGGCTGTTTGGGAGAAGGGGAAGACATTTCATTTTGCCTCCTGACTTTTTCCTCCCACAGGAAGTAGGCTTTTTAATAAAATATTCAGTATTCAAAATATGCAATGCAGAGTGCTATTGTTCAGTGTTCCAGTCAGCTGGCTTTCTCAGTCTCTTGTACATTGGTTCTGCCATTTTGACTAGTGTACTCATGCTAACTAAGTTAGGAAACTGAAGAGTTAGAGTGATCTAAATATTAATTAAAATACAATTCTATGCATAACTATAACTGAGTTAACTGGGACAAATCCCAGATAAGTGAAAATAAAGTTAAAACCTAATGAGACCATATGCAAGGCTTTATTGTTTGTTTTTTTATTACATAAATGTGAACTTTTATTTTCAACATTCACAACCACATAAAAATTGATAGAATATTTTTTTCCAGGTATCAAAACCATGTGAATTTCTTTTTAGAATGTACAGAAGCCTGAAACAGAAAAGAACATAAAGAACACAAAAAGGAAGCCCTGAAAAGCATAAGACATGCTCAGAATAAGAAAAGAGATGGGATAACGAAATACATTTTAAAATGTGGCAGAACTCCTTTGAACACATTTTTGTTGCATCAGATTTCGGACAGAGAAGCTGTCTTATTATGGCATTCAGAAAGGAACAGAAACCCTCCTAATAAGCTTTGCCCCTGCCTATCAATTCCCTTGCTTACTCAGAAACCAAGACAGGTATAAATGCAAACCCAAGGATTTTTCCACCATTACCTGATCTTCAAAGTCAAATTCATTATCAGGAATCTCTCCTGGGTCCACAATGAGACTAAGGTCAACTTCACATGGACCTAAAATAAGAAAGGGAATTTTTGAAATAAAATAGGCAGGTTTCATTTTGTATGCAATGATACAATCTCATAATTAATGGAAAAGGTCTAAATAATTCTGAATATTTTTATAGGGTGGTCATTCTAACCTAAACAAGAGATTGCTCGTACTTAAAGAAAGCAAGAGTTTTGTTTTGAATTCTAATGGCAATTTCAGTTTCCTAACATAAAGATGTAATCTGATATTAATTTATCTAAAAGGAAGTCTTACTGAACTCTCAGAATTAACTCTGAATAAACACATACATTATTCAAGACCTAGCTGTCTGGAGAAGGCTTTAATGCTGAGAAAGATGGAAGGAAATTGAAAAGGATGACTAGCGGCAAGGGGGGGTGGGCTCAGTTAAGTGGCAATGAGTACACAGTTGGAAGACTTGAAGGATCAGGTTAGGGACAGATCATCATGGAGAAAATATATCTATGTGGTTGCTGAGAGTTGATACTGAACTTGATGACACATATTCAATCCATTCATCAAACAATCAGAATTGTACAGTACTCTTAATACTGGACTATTACAGATGCTTATTATTGAGTATATCTCACTGAGTAAAATGGGACCTCATTTCTGTGTATCAACTTTCCTTTCATGTGTAAAAAACAAAAACAAAAACAAAACAACAATGTAAAATTTTCACAAATATGATATGTTGAAGGATTCATATGAAAATACTGTATAACAAACATATTGTAACTTTTGGTTTGCAAATGTTCACTGTTTTAGCAGGGTGATAACAAAATGGAATGGTTCTTTCCAGCATCATTATACTCGTTTGAGATCCTCAGATTTAAAAAGAGAAACAGCCATGACCTAAAGGGCCTATGTTTTATTTTAAAAAAATAGGAGTAATTTTTTTAAAAAGTACCAGAATAATGTCCCCATTTTTGCATATTCTTTTGAAACTAGAAAACTTTGGATTTGTATTTTTGCTTAATTTTTTTTGTTTTTTTTGTTTTGCTGAGGGTCTGAATATTTTAGTGACTCATTTCTTGAACAGAGAGAAAGAGTGTGTGGAGGTAAAATAAATACATGGGTATTAGAATGCATATAGAAGGAACAAATTGCTGCCTCTGAGTCCTAAAAATCTGATTTGTTGAATATCACAGTTACATTATAAGGAATGTAATTACTTTGCAACATAGCTCTTTTCTACAGGCGTAGATTTCTTAATGCTTGATTTCTTATATGGTTGATATTAAAGATGAGATAGGGAACTGGATTTGAATAATAGACCAGATCCTGTTCCCCACTTACCCTGAGGACTTGGTAATATTAGGAGAAAATGTTCTTTTGACATTGTTACACACAGTAGAAGACAGTAAATGCTTGCACTGAGTGGTCCATCTGATGCATGTTTTTCCCACCATGAAAGACATACTCTAGATAAATTGAAAGTGTTACTTTGCAATTACTACATTAGAAGGGAAGGTTGAGACACAGAGGGATCTTGTTGGGGACTCTGGCAGAAGTGCAAACAGGATCAACTTCTTCCAGTATCACCCATGCCCTGCCTTCTTCCTTGAAAAGGAAGAGAAAGAGAAGAGCTGATCCGCCCAGTGCTGCTGCAGAAGGTCAACAAGAGGATCTTCTGCCAGCTTCCAGCTCTCCTGGAAGAAGAAGGACCAGGGACAGGAGTGGAGAGGAGTGGCCAGCAATTGGAGGTGGTGGTGAGAAAAGACTTCACTTGAGGCTCAGCAGACCAGATGGCTCAGCCTAGCATACCAGATGAAGCTCATGGACCAACAATTATCCATTCCTGTATTAAAGAATATTACAAATTATACTATATAATCTGTACTACTGATGAAAAATCCCTACAGAAATTTCAACACGGGGCTAGAAGTGTGAATCCTCGCTATTAGAAAAAAAGAGTTTCCAATACAACTGCTTAAATTAATAAATTAATTCTGAATCCTGTTTACTCCCAGACTTGTTTTGACAAAACTGCAATAACCTGCCAGAGGAAGAGGGAAAGGAGAGAAATGTTAGGATTTAATTCTGATTTTGAAGTCAATACAGATTTTCTGAAAGATACCTAATGCTCATATAATGTTACATTATCCATAATATGCCTTGGAGAGTAATGTTGGAAAAGGGTATTAAAAAGATCTAACTCATAAAAATATCTACTAGATTATTCCTTAGCCCATGTTTTAATTGTTCCACTAGAGCAAGAGGACAGAGGGGCATTATTTAATTTTAAGCACTAGAGTTTAAAACTGAATTGCAACTCATGACTTTGTTCCTTCAAATTCTACCTAGCCAAATGCTTTCATCACACTCCAGCTGGCACTCTGCTTACCCAGTGGCCATATTGTTAAAAGCTACCAGAAAAATATCTCTGAGTTCAAATCAACAGGAAAAGTATATATA